ACTGTTTATACCTGGTAAGACCAACTACCAATGGAACCACATGATAATAAATACACCTAAAACTGTTTAAACCTGGTAAGACCAACTACCAATGGAACCACATGATAATAAATATGCCTAAAACTGTTTATACCTGGTAAGACCAACTACCAATGGAACCATAAGATAATAAATACACCAAAAACGGTTTATACCCGGAAAGACCAACTACCAATGGAACCACATGATAATAAATATGCCTAAAACTGTTTATACCTGGTAAGACCAACTACCAATGGAACCATAAGATAATAAATACACCTAAAACTGTTTATACCTGGTAAGACCAACTACCAATGGAACCACAAGATAATAAATATACCTAAAACTGTTTATACCAGGTAAGACTAACTACCAATGAAACTACATGATAATAAATATACCTAAAACTCTTAATACCTGGTAAAACCAACTACCAATGGAACCACAAGATAATAAATATACCTAAAACTGTTTATACCTGGTAAGACCAACTACCAATGGAACCACAAGATACTAAATATACCTAAAACTGTTTATACCAGGTAAGACTAACTACAAATGAAACTACATGATAATAAATATACCTAAAACTCTTAATATCTGGTAAGACCAACTACCAATGGAACCACAAGATAATAAATTTACCTAAAACTCTTTATACCTGGTAAGACCAACTACCAATGGATCCAACTTTTCTTCTAGACGAATCCTCATTTTTTTTAAACGAACAGTACCTTACAGTTATTACCCTTATCATCAACTTCTTTGTGTTGAGAAAGTATTGGAAAATAGGTTATTTTATATTCTGCCCTTATTTAAGGTATCTGCAATAAAAAAAAAAAAAAACAACACTCTTTTTCAGCACATATGTAGCATCATGTAGTAGATAATTATGTAAATGTCTAAGGGCCCGTAACCCTCTTTTGATCAATGAATGGTAATGATTTAAACTGGATAGCGATCTGGCCTGCAGGTTACACCTATATCTGTATCTAAAACGGCACTAAAATTGTCCAACCCTGCTGTTTTTCCTCGGGGCTTCTCCGGGTATTTTGGGGGGGATTTATTTCCCTTCATACGCTTCTAATATCTATTTATAATTGTGAACAACTTTGAATGACTTTTAGGGTTTAATGAAATTTCATCGTGTTCAGGTTATCGTTCAGAGGTATGTTCCAGTCTCCCCAAAATCTAGATCCACTTGATTGGGACCTCTGGTAGACCAAGGGAAACGGAGTAAAAGACCGTTTATTCAATTTTATACCACTCCTTGTCTGAAGCATCATTCCTTCCTTTTTTAATTTATTATCAACTTGTGCATCAATCATACATTCCGCCTTCCTACAGAGTTATTGCCGTTTGTCCCTTTTTATACCGGAGTTTGTCTTTCACCTACATTCACTAAGCGTCTTATAGATATGTAGTCGTTCATATAAAGTAAAAATGGAAAATGAACTTTGCATTGCGAACATTCTGTTATATTTTCTCAATGATAATAAACCGAATGGATTCTGTTTACTATTCACTAGTTTTGAAAACAGAAGTGTCTATTCCCAACAGGTCATTGTCAGTAAAACAGATACGGGATCCAGTACTTCTTCAAAATAAAATGTGTTGTTTTTTTCAAATTTACCATATTCGCGGATCCAAGATAGACAGTGTCATAAAAACAGACATTTCTGGAACAAATGCTTACACGTTTTTCTGATCGTATATCAATAAATAAACTTTTGAAAGGCAAGTGCTCTATCCACTGCACCACCCGACCACCCAATCGTATACGAAAATAGGCATTTGGTCTCGAATAAAAATCTTTCAAAACCAATGTATTCAAAAACATTATTTATTTCATTCTTTGAACTTCAAACTTTTGAACACTTTTCATGGGTTTAGTTTTGGAAAAGAATTTTTCGTCGTCTAATGCATATCTACAGTACACAACGTTCGTTCTTTAGCAACACAACAAATATACTACCTCGCCTGTATCTCTTTAAAGTTGAGTATCATATTGTAACGTATATATACCTTGCCAGTGATACACATCAAAGTGTACAGCATCCTCAATCGAAATGGTATGCTTTTTGCACTTATTTTGGGTTTTTTCATTTTTTTTCAATCGTTACTCCCATTCAAAACTTAAACAGATTCGTTACCATACCAACAGATCCCTTACACATTATTTTGGTCAAGGGTTACACTCATGCTACTTTACATTATCACTAAAACAAGTTTTAAATCGATGTAATGATCACTTGTGATCAAATATATGCACTTATCTCAAATGTTCACATAACCAAGTCGATTTTATCTGAGAAAATAATGCACCAAAACAGAAACGGGACCAAAGAGAACATATACGTTACATATTTTCTAAGTGATGTGATCCCTTATCCTCACATATCCCACCCTTTTCTTTCACAAAAATATATTTATAGTAGTTAAATTTATTTGAACATCTCCAATAACGTACACAAATTAACCATTATTATATATGCATTCATGTCTTTCGATTTCCTAAGATTTGAAGATATTCCCCATGAAAACTAAGCCAGCTGATGCAGGTACAGTTTGTAAAAGGTCTAATTACATTGTTCCCATCAAAATTACACGAAACAGAATTAGAATCTAAAGTATCATTGTAAGAAGCTACGATTAAAGAACCATTTACAACGTATCTGTTTATAACGTATCTGGTCGGCAAAACTGTTTACGTCGGCAAAATTAAATTCACTCGGTATACACATTGTACAATAATGTTTGACTTCAGTTTTATAGTGTAAGGTTTAAAAAAGGTTCCCATGACAATGAGTACAGTTGTATAGGACAAATACAGGTCACGTATCTTTTGAAAATTTAACGTACAATCCACGAATACCAAGTTTCATGCAGGAAACTTGATGCTTACGGAATTAATGTCGATTGATTTATATGCGATATAAGATACCTTTAGTCAATATACAAAGATTTTTTAAACTTGTATTCACCGATAATAAATGCTTGTATTATAGATGTTTTGTTAAGTAACGTATCTGGCAAGACATTTTGCGACAGTAGATAATCGCCAAAAAAATTTTTTTTTTAGCTTAAATTGTTAATATTGAATTAATTAAGTTTTGTTTAGACATAAGTAAACTTGAACTATGAAGGAAAACATATGAATTTTAACTAAAATGAAAGAAAGCTTTTTGTATCAGAAAAAGTGACGCGACAACGATTATTCGAGTATATTGGCATGTTCATGTACACTTTATGAAAAATGTACCGTACGTTTTCATTCAAATTTTTGTTTGTTTTTGGAAAACATATCAATGTTGAAACAGTGAACTATAGTTTTGATGTTTAGGCTACATTATATGTGATGGAAGGATCATGAAACATGATTTTCGGTTAATGGCGCATGATAAGTGAGAATGGGCGTATAGTGTATGATGGTGGATTGTCATGTGCTGAATTTGGGTCTTTTGTCATCTGAATACGATGTTGCACTGTGAATGTATGGTCTTTAGTGTTTGTATATTAATACGAAAGTCGCTGAATTTGTAAAAAAAATACATGTATTTTGAGAAGGTGGAGGGTTGTATGCTTAAATGTGTCTCGCATCGTTCCCTGTACAGAATTATGGCCATTTATTCACTTTGAAAAGCGATATTTTAAAATAACGGCCCAGGAAGAAAACTTTTGTGCATAGCATTGTTTGAAGCACCTTGTCTTATATATTCAGCTCACGAATTAAAGTAAATTCCGTTTTCCTTTTTCAACATTTTCTGATTTAATATTTTACTCTCTGGAGTGATATAGTATAACTGTACTGTTTTCTTACTATATTTCAATATTTTATTGCGAGAAACACGTGTTAACCTCAATGTGTTAATAACCTATAATATGTTTTAATAATTAAGATTAAATATTAAAACTCCCCCGCGGTAACGTCAGGACAGTTATACTTAAGTGAGATCAGAATCACTGCTGACAAAATGGAAACAGCAAAGCACGTGACGAGTGTGTACTGTTTCGCCTTTGCGATAATCTTGTTCCAGTTTACGATGAAATTGGACCTAATACTACTGCAGTTCAACAATAACTCTAGATTAATGTAATTCTGGTTTTGAAATTGAATCACATTTTATGATTTTTCGAGATATAGTAAGTCATTTTTGTTAAAACAAATTACGGTACATATCGGTTGACAAAACATAATCAAATTACCAAAAATCAACCGTAAAATACTGATACATATATAACAGAGTCTCCATTGACCTCGTTTCAAACATATAGAAGTTTTTTTTTAAAAGAGCAATTATCCATCTTCTCAACGCTATTAAGCATTTTACTGTACATCAACTAAAAATGTTGTTTATGATGCAAGAAAGTTAAGTGGGGTCGATTTTTCGACAACAGGTGCTTTCCTCCCTTCTCGTGTATATCATCATATTTGGAGTGGCATTTCTACCAGAACTGAAAAACGTGTAAAATTACTCTAAACACCATTGTTTAGGTCCAAATATAGCTATAACAAATTAGTATGTCCCTGTGGTCCCTGATACTCGTTTTGGTTTCCTGAAATCATTGTATACAGTAGGACAATATAAAGTACGTTCTGGAAGTAACAAGTATCCGTCAAGTGATGGAGGCAATGGGTTCTGTCCCAAGGCCGGGATATACCTTAGTCATTAAAAATGTCGATTGTTATTCCCTGCTTAACGTTCAGCATTAAGGGTAAACGCGGCTACTGGTTTAACTGGTGTCAGTATAATGTGACCGGGTGGAATACTGTGCTGGGTGCTTTCAGCATGATATCGGCATCAGATTGTCGCTATCGCAAGGAGGCAAATACCCCAACATACCGTCTCTAGCACACATACTCACATACAACACACGTGGAGGCACGTCCTTAAATGACATAAGCTGTTATATGACGTTTAACAAAACAAAACAAAACATGTCTTCAATATAAAAAAAAATCTACGAATGGATTTAAAATAAAGACTTTCATTTAATGCGTTAAGGTTAATCAAACACATAAGAAATACAACTTCTTTTTTTAAATCTTATTTTCACCTCAACTTGTTTGTATGGATTGGTCCCAGTAGTGTGTAGCACTACATACCACAGCTGTTATAAGTTGGACAGTCGGCCAGGTTGTTCTCAAGGTAGTCCTGTAGCGAGCTCTGTATTGTCACGCAGTCTCCTAAAATGTTTAGATTGTGACTAATTGTTCCATAACCTCCATTTTTCCAGTCGTACAGCCATCGTAATGCACAAGTGCACTCGATTTTATTGAATCTGAAGTCGAGAGTGAGATCATGCTTAACAAGTCTTAAGATTTTCAGGCCGCACGGAATCTTCGTGAGATTTGTGTTCCGCATCTCGACCAAGTTGATGTTTTCCGACTTATTAAAGGCGTTGTCGGAGAGGTAGATAATCGGATTGTCGTTCAGCTTTAGTTCCTTTAAATTGGTGAGTTCCTGCAAGTCCTTTCGTTCAATGGTGTGGATACCGTTTTCAGAAAGGTCTACTGATTCGAGCGAACTAATATACTGAAGCGTGCCAGGGATTCGGGTGATTCCGCAATTGCGAAGACTTAGATGTGTGATCTTGTGGATCGATTTCGCGGATTCCTCACTCACAAACTTCAGGTTATTTCCGTTCATGGAAATTTCTGTAAGATTTCGAAATACCCCGAGGATATTTGGGAACATTGTTATGTTATCATCGTCGAGTGAAATTTTGGACAGGTGTGTAAGATATGTACTCACTATTGGGACATTCATACCGAAGTCTCCGATCAGATGGTTATGATTTAGGGAGAGCTCCGTGAGGTAGTTCAGTCGACCCACCGCCAGGGGTACAGAGTACAGGTACGTGTTACTAATGTTGAGCTTTCGTAGCGTGTTCTCGAAGCCGTAAAAGGAGTTGATAGGCATAAGAGAAAAGTCTGCTGCAGTACAGTTCAACTCCTCAAGTCTTGGAAAATACTTAAGTGTCGTCGGCCAAGTGTCAATATCCGGTGTAGACCCAAACGCAAATCGCACCAGTGTATTACCTATCTGCTTCATGGTCTCGATGTGATTAGCATCTTCAAACCCCGATATACCATTAAAGGAGACGTCAAGCCCCTTTAATGCTGTGATGTGCCTCACGGCATTGGGAATTTCGCCAAGTCTGTTGTGGCTCAGGTCAAGGTCATTCACAAGTAAGCCGCCAAACGCGTTCTCTTCAAAATCATTATTTCTGAGTTGGGAATGTGTGATGGTAAGTCTATCTACCGTTAACGACTGGAACGTATTGTTGTGGATGACAAGACCATGACTGTTAGTAATTGTAAGGATATTCAGCTCTACTGGTGCACTGAGAGGGGGCCAGGAGGTCAGATTTTGACAAAGAAGGTCACCTTTTACACAGGAACATTTGTCGGCTGGATACACGGAGTTGTCATTGGGCGGACAGACGTCGACAGCGCCCTCTGTCAGCGTCAAAAGGCAAGCGACCAAAAACACCTGAAATGTGAATAATATAGAGTGTTCAATGAATGTACCTGTAATTTGATTTAAGGAGGCAAATAACTTTTTAAGCTCATAGCTAATGACTATTTTACATTTACTTCCCCAGCAGCAGATTTCCATATATAGAGTAAACATAATGGAGGCTGCCAGGGTTGAGGGGCCCGGGGTCAACCCCCGAACAATAAAATTGTCCTCACGCAGGAGTTGTTTCTCACGCCATACACCTTTTATCCATTTAATATGTCAATTCATTTTATTTGTTTTTAGTATGTAGTATATATATAGACAGACAAATATATTTCAGATATCAACGGATCCATCCGCTTTCGTCCGACACCCTGAGTCCTCTACGATGTGTTAGAAAAAGAAGTACATGCACCATTATGAAAGAAAAAGAGACGGTAATAGGCAAGAAATATAATCCATCCCTGATGTGAGGTAAGGATAATATAATTCAAACCCTCGGGATAAAATATTGAACAAAAGACCCTCGGCAAAACCTCGGGTCTCCTGCCCAATATTGTATCCCTTGGGTTTGAATTATCTTATCCATACCTCACATCAGGGATGGATTCTATTATTCTTGCATACTAGACCGAGATGTCCGCATTCCCGGCAGTGCTGGAAAATGTTTATATTGTTTAAATTAATGAATTTAATCTATAAATATCTTAATAGTTTAGATGCTATGTTGTATATAATTGTGATATATATTTCATTGATAATGGTGTCTCATGTAGGTGAACACTGGCCGGACATTTCTTATGAATAGTTCTTAAACATTGTAAAAAGTATTTTATGATACATGTATGTAGTGAAATGTGTGACACGTTAAACAATATTAGTTATTTATTATTATTATTATTATTGTTATGAAAGATTAAAAATCCTTAAAGATGTACACCTCTGTTATCAGATGTGTATGAATATTTGCAGAATTGACAAAAATAGCACTTTCTTTTCAATTATGGAAGTAAAATTTCTTAATCTTATTCTTTTAACTCAGAAAATCAATTCAAGTTACCCCTACCCCTTATTTTTTAATGACAAAATACTCATATTCAATTTTTCATCATTTTTTGCAGATTTAATGCTTGATATAAAAAGTTCTGCTATTAAACTTTTTTAGATATTAAGAAGATCAAACGAAAATGTTTTCTCTCTCTAAGTCAGACAAAAAAGTAGGGGGTCCGTGTGCTTCCTTTTTGTCCCATCATTATTTGTATTATTTGAGAGGCCGAGGTTCCTTAACGGTCACCTGATTTATGTAAAAACTGATGTTATCGATGTTGCCAAATGAAAAGGAATAATTTTGTAACAAAGGTAACTACATGTAATGCAAAAGTAGTGTGTACGATCTGGGTAGTACATGTAATATGTACAAATAGTGGTTCTGTGAGTCAGCTGAATTATGGTAAAGCACCTTAAGACCCTTCCATCTATGAAGAGTATTTGATTCTACCATATCTTGGTCTTGAGAAGAATTTAACCCTTTTTGGCCCCACCCATCAGCCCCTGGGGGTCAGTCAGGGCTGATATGTGCATACCATCAAACTTCTATCCAATGCTGATAATGCTAACCAGGTTTAAATTAATTCCAATGGAAATTAAACAAATGTTGGTCCAAAATGTGATTTCCCTATATAAACTACAGTAAAGTTTATCCCCTCCCCAGGGGAAAACGTGATATCCCAGGGTCATGAAATTCACAATTTTGGTAAAGCACCTTAAGACCCTCCCATCTTGGAAGAGTATTTGATTCTACCATATCTGGGTCTTGAGAAGAAGATTTTTGAAATTCGACTTTGTCACAGGTGACCTAAAAATGTATAATTTTCCACCTTGTTGCATATTATTTTCATTATATTGAACATTATAAAGTTGTACAACAAAAACGAACTTGCTACAATTTAAAAAAGGTGACACACTGACTATTTAAGTCATCGATCAAGCATCAAAATAGTGAAATTTGCTTTTCGTGAAGCGAAATTAATAAACCGAAATACGCTTTTTTTTTTAAATGGCCGCCGAATTGGTCATTTTTTTAAATTCTTGTGAATTTTTTTTCTAAAAACAAGACATCTAAATTTTTGACACATTTTTCAGATGCGTATTTGCTATTAAAATCGATCATGTTTTTTTTTTCAAAATTGCAAAAACCCTTACACGAGATCAAACCGGGACTTGAACGTGATTGAAACCCCAGAAGAGTACTTCCTTAAATAAGTTCCTCTTTCATAAGATATGAAACGGTTACTGTACAATTTCTTCATTCTAGTGAGCCTCCGACGAGCACAAATGAACAAAAATCGTTTCGAGTTTCAGAAATCTTTTTCATCATATGATGAAGACATTTTGCGAATATTACGATTACTGCTATTGTTTTAGATTATTCGTTTAGTCTAAAACTCCGTTATCTCGGCTATGCACATGTATCCCTATTGCCCTTAGTGTAAATGTACATGTAACGTCATGATGGAATAGCGGTTTGGGAGACTGTGACGTCATACACAATATGCATGACATCAACATGACGACATCGATAACCTGACCTTGTTAAAATGATGAAAGAAATTGAATTCGTTTTAAATATCCATGCGAAGTTTGTGGAAATCATTCAGATATGTTTGTTTTAACTCGGCAGGGCCTTGGCGAAATGCAATATTTTGACTAGTTTCACGGATCTTCAATAGAATGGTTATTCATTGAAAACCGAAAACAAGTTAGTGATTTTATCCGCCGATTTGGATTGATTTGTAATGTAGAACATGGTTTTCAGGAGATCAGATACCACAAACTGACCCACTCTTCCTGTAACACTGTATGCTTAGATATAAAGGCATAGTGGCAGATGTCAAAAAAAGATGTCATGTCAAAAATTTAAAACAATATAATTGTCAAAATAATACCTGTCAAACAGACACATTACACATGTCAGTTACCTATTGACACGTGTCAATCACACACAATATGATACGTGACAATCACATACCATGTGGTACGTGACAATCACACACAGCGTGATACATGTCAAACACATACCATATGATAATTGTTAAACCGATAGCATGACACGTGACAATCACACACAATATGACACGTGACAATCACATACCATGTGGCACGTGACAATCACACACAGTGTGATACATGTCAAACACATACCATATGATAATTGTTAAACCGATAGCATGACACGTGACAATCACACACAATATAACACGTGACAATCACATACCATGTGGCACGTGTCAATCACACACAATGTGGCACATGTCAAACACATACCATATGATAATTGTTAAACACATAATATATGACACGTGACAATTACATACCATGTGGCACGTGTCAAGCACCTACCATATGATACACGTCAAACGACACATCATACGAAATTTGTCAAACAATCACAATTTGAATAATTTTTCCAACAAAATCTTATCAATTGACACACTTCAAATGAATAGGTCATACCAAATATGTCCGACATTACCATATCAGCTGACCATCGCTCTAGGCATGGCCAACAGACTCAGGTGACAGAGAAAGATACAAAGTATCAAATGGTGCTAGCGATCGATACATAATCTCATTGGTACTATATCTAGAAATACATCTTTGCGAATAAGTCCCTGGAAGAAAAATAGTAAGAATTAGCTCACACGAAAATGAAGTGACTGGCAGTATAAATAATGAAAAATAATTGATAAAAAAACTGTACACGATTAGAAGGATGAAGATTATTTCTGATAATACCATAAAATATGACAGTAACATAGAAGAAATGCTTACTTGAAGGTGTTGGGTAAACAATGCGATTTATGTACTTTGTATTAAAGAAAATTAAGCATAATTTTAGTAAACTTCGTAATAAAGTCGATTTACTTTTCTGTCACTTTGAATTAAATATCAACGAGCCGACCGAAGAAAAAAAAAACAAATACACAAAAATATCCTCAAACGCCACCGTACACTTTCTACTTTAACAACCTGACAGGGTTGTTTCAGATTTCACGTGGACTGTACTTACGTAGACAAGTATCTTCATGACGAGGATTTGAAGAAATACTGAAAAATAAACAAAACGTAAGTAAATTGAAAAATATTTGATTAATTTGTTCCAAGTTAAATCAAGTAAAAATAAAAAGTATGTACATGTCGCTTATCGCATTTTCGTTTAGAAAAGAAACATTGCAGACTGACACTTTTAATTGCCTCGCCCCTGTTTCCTCTCCAGTTCGTGTCTCTTCGCTCCTTTCATCCTCATATCCCTCTTTCAACACTCGTACTCTCCTCTGCTTTTTTCACTTCTCCTTCCTTTTAATATTGCGAACCAATCCTTACCCAACTTTCGGAAAAGAATTAATGTAAGCGCTGAGCTTCTTTTGCTATAACTACACTGTATGTTTGATTATTGAATACAATACTTTGTAAATCAAACCTTACCCCCTCTCCATAACCCCTTACCCCCGGATATGCATCAAAAAGTGTATACTTACGTGTATATTGCTGAACACACCGACAATCTGTCCGAATTGCCCAAAGGACTTAAGGAAACACTAGATAAAGGATATCTGTCACAGGTCAGAGTTCAACTTCTGTGTTATAGAGATCGTAACGAACTATTAATCTGACGGGAAAGTCCCTTCACACGATTCCATATACCTAACAGGAAGTCTTTGGTTCTAGGTTCAACACCATCTGGGTTAGTGTTTTCTTCCCTTAGATATTAGTAATAATGAGGACAGAAGGATGGTGAGATTGGCGAGATAGAAGCGGAGGAGAAGAATATAGAAAGATATACATCCTTTATATAGGGAGCGGATAGAGAGATAAACATTTTTTTTTTTGTATTTTACGTCCTATTAACAGCTATGTTAATTTAACAACGAACCATCGAGGCCTACGTGGGGCAGTCGCCATATGTTGGTCGCAGGTTAGTGGTTTTTTCCGGGTACTCCGGTTCCCCTCTACCACAAAATCGTAAACACGGTCAGACGCCTTTTAAAACCACTCAGCCACCTCAATTTCAATTTATTACCAAATGCACATTGCATATAGGCGTACAGAAATATACATATAGATAAATACTTTACAAATATCTTATACAATGGCGGAGAACATATGCAATAGATTCAATTCCATACATAATAATTACAAATTCATGAAATAATCATAAGTTGGGGAAAACTTTAAGGTTTTCCTAAGGTAACTTAGCGGACTCCTATCAAGCATAATTTAGTTGTTTATAAAATAATACATATAAAGCCTTAATTTAACCAAATTTCTAGGAAATAACAAAACTTCAAAGCCAATCATACAACCTCAACATGAAGGTAGTACTTACTTAAATTTCTAATAAGTTTAAAAATTTTGCTAGACAGTAGCTCTATTAATTTAAACACAGAAGGACGAATACGATAATATGGCTTGGTATACGATACACTTAATTCTAAAACTACAGGACACATAAGAATGAAATGAAACTCATCCTCGACATCTCCAAGATCACATAAAGTACACAATCTCTGGTTTCGAGGCCCTGCATTATATCTACCTGTCTCTATATTAAGGTTATGTGCTTGCAATCTATATTTCGCAAGAATACATTTATTTTTTCTAAATAGCGGTTTTGTAAAATACCATTGTAGATCAAAACGGTCAACAATGTGTTTATACAACAAACATTTTGAAGATGTCTCGAATATGTTTCTCATTTCCTGAATAAAAGTATCCTTTATGCGTTGTATTTATAATAATAAAAAATACTTCTCATTTGGTACACATTGTGCCAACCACACATCTCCAAAACCCAACGTACACAAATCACGTCTCAGATGATAAACCCATTTTGCTTTACAATTTGGTTTCCTGTTATAAAGCTCTAAAAGTTCATCGTAACAGGCCCTCAAAATACAGTTACCAGTCTTTAATATTTGAAGCCAGTATAAAGGGTAACGACCAAGTTCAAAATACACCATGGCATTATTTACTGTTTACCTGACACCCAATAAGGTTTTCAAAAATAATAAATGTATATTTTCAATCTTCGGTGCAGGACTATTACCCAATACTTCACACCCGTAATTCACAATACATGATATATAAGTATCAAATAAAGATAATTTGGTCTTTTCATTCAACAACAATTTTCACTTTCCGATTAAGAAGAAAATACGCTTTCCTTCCTTGTACAGCAATCTTATTCAATGCAGTGGTCAATTTACCATTATGATTAAAAACCAAACCTAAATAGCAAAATTGATCTACCACTTCTATAGCTTTACCATCAAAAATCCACTGCTCGTTTGGATACAATCTTTTACTTTTCCTAAAAATAACTATTTTTGTTTTGTCTACATTTACATTTAAATATGACTTAATCAGTTCGGATTCCATGTCGTTGACAAATAAAGAAAACATTATTGGAGATAAAGATTCTCCTAGAAATAATCCGATCTGTAAGTCGTACATAGGAGATAATTTACCATGAAGCTTTACACATCACATAACACTCTCCTATATAGATTAGATAACATTAAGCATCCGTCCTTTTACACCCGATTTCCACAATTTACACCACAATTTAACATGTGATATACCATCAAACGCTTTTCTATAGTCTACGAATACACAATAAAGCCTTTTATTATTCTCTTAAGTTTTAGTAATCAAGGTATTAATTACAAAAATTGCACCTCTGGTATCACTCCCGGGCTTAAAACCAAACTGAGCATCTGCAATTACATTCTCGTTTTCGCTCCACTTTAACATTCGTTTATTCAAGAGTGAGGTTAATAACTTGGCCATATGACTTACTAACGTGATTCCCCTATAATTAGTTACGTCGTTTTTATCACCTTTTATGCAGAGGTATAACAACTCCTTCTGACCAAGCTTTAGGAAAGTATCCTACCTGTAAAACACAAATACAAAACAGTGATATGTATCGATTTTGTCAAAAGAGAGCTTGCCATCTAGCTTTATCCACAAAATACTATCAGATACTACCTCTTTCAGCGTTAAATGCTCTGTCAGCCATGATTTAAATAAACATATCATGCCACCCCCTTTACATTTACTTCTCTTGAAAGGTGGAAACAAATCGAAACCTTTAACATTGACATTATCTAAATTATTTAACCAACATTCACTTAGAAAAACAATATCTGAATCCTGAAAAATGTTAAAAAAATTATCATCTATAATTTTATTTTCTATGCCTCTATGAACGTTCCAAGAGCATATATTAATTTGGGATATGTTCTCCTGTGAGCCCTATGCGGAAACAGCTTTGGCGTAGGTCTGTTCCTCATCACAACCCGCATGAGAATCTTGCCTATCCTGGCCAACAGCGTATCTAGCCCGACGTGACAGTGGACAACCGGAAGTTGAAAATCCTGTTCCATTGGGAGTTGACGGCTGGCGCGATCTCTTCGATCTACTTTCCTCTACATCCATGGTTGCGGCAGGCTGAACACGTGATTCCATCCTTTGAGAACTCTTCTCGCCCGTGTACAACACGCCATCGACGAACATCTTAACACTTACAAGTCTTACTTTGTGCCCATTCCTTCGCTTTGCTTTCGCCACTGGATAAAGCTTCCTCCTTGCCTCCTCAATGATTGGTGGAAACTGCTCGTGGATACCGAACAATTTGCCTTTCAGACGAAAAGCATGTCTTAAAACGTCGTCATGTTGACGCTGATAGAGGAAGCGAGCGACTATAGGGCGAGGTTTGCTACCTCCACGCTTACCAAACCGGTGTACGATACCGAATTCCTGAACGTCATCTTTCCAAAGTTCGTTGCAGATAAAATGTCGAATGAGGGCTTCTGTATCCTCCCCTCGGTTTTCCTGTAATCCCGTGAACACACGATTACATTTAATTGATCTGCATTGTAAGTCAGTAACTACCTCCTGAAGTTCGGCATCCTGAAGCTGAAATCCCTCCGTAGCCCCAACAGCTTAGTCGACACTGGCTGTAACCTTAGCGTTTACTTTAAAAATATCCTCCTTGTTTTTATTCACAGAAGTACTGATACGCTCGTACATGTCACTGATAAACTTGGTACTGTTTTTCAGCTCTTGAGTGACTTAAGTAACATGACCTTGACCCCGACCTCACGGACTATCAGTGACAACGACAATAGCGATGTTTAGACGTCATCTATTTTCTTAACTTGATATTCTATTGCCTTGAACCTTGTGTCAATATCATGCATGAAATCAGTAACAGAGTTGCCAGAAAGGGCTGTTTTACTTAAAGATTGAGAGGCCATAGTGTCCGAATCCTCGAAAATGACTTGTCTAGCTTGTGATAGAGCAGTTGATGTACGAAACGCGTCCGCGTCCTTACTGCATACTTCCCACCTCTCACAATGGAAAAGTATGGGCAATAAATCACTTGCTACCACAGTCCACTGCACACATAATCCCCTTTCAAGGCCAATCATGATTACATGACCATGAAAGGGGGTGTGCCCAGTGGACTGTGGCCACAAATGCTGTAAGAAAGGGGAGATACTCAATCAGTGAGTAACGATGAAGTCAATACAGTAGAGGATAAACTTAGTTGACACATTTCAAATAAGGGGAAAAAATGAAAGTTAAAAATGGTAATTTCATGATTGAAAAACACAAACAGATTTCCTTATCACGTGAGAGGATAAGCATTTCCCGGAAAAGTTTATAATCTTAAGGAGCTGTTCCTTTATACAAAATTGCACATTCAAATATACCATTCATTGAAAGAACTGGAATTCCTTAGGGATTGATAAACCCTTACATTGTATATATGAAAATGGTTTCAATATCCTGTACCTTTGCCACATCTTGAAAATTAAACTGAAAATGTAGTCAGAAATTCAACATTGTTTCCCGTATTTTGAACAGACACTCCTTACCTTCCCTGACACTGGACCTGGATAGTAATCCAAAAACACTTGTATCCATTATGAAGGATACACTCAGACTGGGCTATTGAGAATCTTACCGGGTTATGATTAGTACTCACTCACATAGGTACATGTAAATTATCTGCAGGTAGGAAAAAAGATTGTCCAGGTGAACATTTTTTACTCAACTTTTCTGTTTTGTTCGAGTTGGGAAGCATGCAGTAAGCCAGTTATTGCATGATTTCTCGTCACTCGGGACTTATTACACCCTCGCTTCGCTCGGGTGTAATAAATCCCTTGTTACTCGAAAACCATGCAATAACCTTTACTTGTCAAAGGGGTCTGTCATATACCACTGTGTCGTGCAATAGAGCGTGACGAAATTTTGGCCGTGGGCACCGTACGTGTACAATGTATGTTCTATACGTAGTCACAGTTCATTGCACACACTAAACACAATATCGGCAGGTATGAGTTTTACAGAACATGCTTAAAATCGAAGAAATACGCAAGAAATTTCAAAATTTCAACAGCATACTTAACAAC